ATGATACAGCAGGTTAAACATACTTGGAGACAATAAATGCTTGTTCAATAACAATAAATCTGGCAATAAATCCAATTAAATATAACAGAATTGCAGTACAATCTAAAATATTCCATCCATCGTCAGTAAAATATGTACGAACTATTGAACGATTACTACTAGCGCGTTTTTCAGCCCAATGGATAATAAACTAAATGGACAGACATTCACAGTGGATACGACTAATATAAGTCGTGATCATTTCTTACTTCTCGAATTTCTTCAACAATTAAAGTCCAAAGCAAAATATGTAAGACTATTTCTGTTATTGGTATGTGAATATTTGCATACCCATTTCTTTTTCCACCATAGATATTCAACGGGAAATAATCGACGAGCAAAACAAAACTGAATAAACCCAAAAATAATATATAAAATAGCTAAAAACGATAAAATAAAAACTACTGTATGTGAGACTTTGAACAGAGTTCAAAATAAATGATTTACGATATCAGAATAAAATCGAACAATTCCAGGAGCACTATAAAAGCGACGATAACTATCCCGAATATTCTGTAAAAACTGTTGTTTTCCTTTATATGTTTTACTAAAAAGGTATGAAAAATTATGCTGTGTTCATGGCTTCGCACCCTTAAAACAATACATCATACTCAATTTTATTGTTTGGTGATGTTAATACATGACGAAAACATGGACATGGTATCAGGATTGGAAATAGACATAACAGGAATATCTAAAGTTCAACAGACAGAAGAGAAAATCTGTATGACTTAAAAGTGAGGCTAGAATTGCACAAGAAAAACATCTGCTTACCACAGAAGCAAGCTCAACGACGATCTCAGATTTTTACTAAGTAATCTCATCTTGAAAATATTTGTAAACTACATAGCCGAGAAGAGCATCAAATTCTGAACAAAATGATACATGATTTCAGGATTTAAGGGCAATCTTAAGAGAATTATGGACTGCTGGATTTCCAAACCAAAAGATCGTAGATTAGAAACAGCACTTTTTATATGTCGATTTTTCGACTTACGAGGCTTACGAATTGAAGAATACTGAGTAATGCATCATTTTGTTCAGAATTCGATGCTCTTCTCGGCTATGTAATTTACAAATATTTTCAAAAAGCTGAAGAGCTTTCTAGAAAACATATGTCGGTTCTTCAAAGACCCTTTCGAAGGCCCAAACTTTTAAATACGGATTCATATAGCCCATGGTTGAATGCATAAGGAAAAATGGTTGTCGATTCGTTGTAGGTAGATGACGTCGAGAACGGAACCCAACAGGCTGAACCTATAAGGCTCTCCAGAAACTCGGGTTTTTGAACTGAAGATTTGAGATAAAAGAAATCTAAATGTGTCATCGGATAGAGCATATCACAGACTAGATATGATGAAAAAATCTCACTCTCCAATCATTCTTATTGACGGAGTAATGGCATTTTTACGTTTTCTTTCCATTTTCCGGCGCTAAAGTTTTATGATAAGCACTCTCAAAAACTCTTGCTGTATCTCTGAAACCTACGGTCCGATAAGGTTAAAACGTTGGGTTTATGGGTTTCCGCGTATACTCTACAAGATGAGATTACTTAGTAAAAATCTGAGATCGTCGTTGAGCATGGGTGGGCGTGGTTCTCGTGCAGTGACTTCTAGATGGAATTCTCGTATAAGTAAATAATAGCGGATCAGCATGATTCGTGTCTTACATTACAATTCAGAATAGTTGTCGGAAGTGATTACTTACTATTAAATTAATTGATACTTTATGATGATTATGTTTATCTACTTCACCATACCATATTGTATCTAAATATCTTTCTACACATTTTGTTGCTAAAAATCGACGACTGTTATTTTCTTTTGCCAATCGCAATGGGCTATA